TAAGGCCATGACATAATGCCACATGAATAGCTCCGACTGTAGCGTCTGTCTCTCTATTGTGAATAGGTACTTTTACACAATATTTGCAACACATGGAAGCTAAGCTAGACACATACACACGTACACGCTCACCAGTTGTCCTTAATCCATACATTGTTGCTTGAGTACTCGGTCGAAAGTTGGTCATTTAAAAGGCATAACTAAATGTGTATGTATGTATGCATGTGTGCATAGCTGTGTGTGTGTGGCGACGGCTGGCATTCGTTTGGCTCGCTTGCTTTGTTAAAAAAAATATCTACGACGGTAATTGAATTAAATTCCACAATTCTGTAATACAAATAACGAGCCCTGGCACCAACAGCCAACAACAGGTGGATTATTACATTGTGTGGAAATGCCCTGTTGGAAAAATGTGTGGCGAAAATGGGGCTGAATGTATTTCTTAGCTTCCAGCGAGCACAATAAAATCACGCGTTATGACGCTCTGTCATTATGTAAAAAGCAGCGCCACAAAAACCTTTCTTCCTATTTTCCAACAACAACTTTCGGTGTATGGTTTTGCAGTTACCGTCTGACCCTTTTCCATTGGAAAAGCAGCTCCGATCTCAGATCGGCTGAAGTAAACTGTCATCATTACTTTGCTGCTGATTTTTTTGCTTAGAATTTACGGCTGGTTTTGTTCCTGTTGAGCTCCGTACCATGGGCTGGTTCCTGGATCATACTTATAGATTCAAGATTCGTCACCCGTAACGACTTTATTAAAGTTCTTAGGCAGCCCATTTTCGAATTTGTTTAGGAAAAAATGTGCAAAATATAATCGATCCTCTTTTTGAGCCTCATTTTAATGCATCGAGCAGACTTCTTCGTGTATCCTGATTTAGTTGATAACTTAATATTCGCGATACAGCCATGGTATTCAAGCAATCATTCAATGTATCAATCGTAGATCTTCGTCAATTTTGGACTTCACCAGAGCTAGAGCGACGTCATCATTGGAAGATTTTAGTCGACCTTCTCATGGCTTGTCCTCTACGGAAAAATGTCCGATCTGGAATCTTGGGAGCCACTTAGAAATTGGATTTAAAGCCGCTGCAATCGTCCCATAAGTAACTTGGCATTCACTAAATATTTTTATTGGCTGTAAATTACGCCGAAATCCGAGGAGAGTCCCAAGGCGATTTTCTGCTTGCATTGGTGGTGAAATTTCATCTGATCTCTCCTCTGCTATCTTGCTTTCTTCCCTCTCCATTTTACACGATCGTTCTATAATTCGAAAGAAAGACTAATAAAGTAATTGTAAAGCATTTGGTATTTTTAGATTTTACAAAAACAAATTGAGAGTCACCAAGTGGCCGAACTAGTGTTAAGCCCTCGTAATACAAACATCCGCGGATTTCGGACGATATTCTCCTCAGATTTGTAGTTTAGCTCCTAATATTTCTTCTTACATATAAGACATCCAATCGTTTTAAGCTGCCTCTAGATATCTGGGCCGGCTTTTTATGACAAACTTTTATTTCGTTCCAGAAAACCTTTCGAAAGTGATCAAAATACCTGATGGACGACCAAATAAAAACTTTTCCAAACTAATTTTTATAATAATCACTAGACCAAAATTTATTTCCCTAGTCCTAAGGACTAGCAACAGCCCCACCAACAAAGTACAAGTTTGAGATACAACGCTGAACCACTCTTTCCGACAGCTACTTTAGAAGGAAATAAAAGTTTAAGTCCTCTCTCAATGAACTGAGATCAAGTATTAAGGTGAGTTAATGCGACTGTTGATCAGTTCGGCCAATCCACTCAGGTCTAAAGCCTCATAGTCGCAGCGAACGGAGACCAAACCCAGATGTAAAGCTATGGACGTTGAATAAATTCGCTTAATCGACTTTGAAAACAAAAGAAACGTGTTGTGATATGCCGTAAACGATGTTTGGCATAGTTCAGGGAGATTATCTCTTATACGGTAATGAATGCAAACACTCCTGAAAGAACTCGTTTGTGTACTTGAAGTGATGGTATTTCTTCGAATGGCACATAAGCTGCTTCTTCGTAAAAACAGCCATCAAGTAGAAGCATTTGTTTCTTTAAAGACGTTTCTCCAGGACCTGAAGCTCTAATGAAGGGCTTTTGTTTCGTTCTTACCTGTAAAGTAGTGATATAAACCGTTTACCAGGTGTTTGGAAAGTACATTTCTTTCACCCCTTTCTTGCTTGCGCGTTCGCCGAAGAACTTTTGCAGTGTGGTCGTCCAAATGACTGGCTACTGGCATCCCATGTAAGTAGAATGGACTTCTTTAGTTGTAAGAAGCGCTTCACAAGACGGAAGTGCAAGGAATAAGGCATGAAGGAGGCGTTAGAACACCTACTTTGTTTATATCCGATTTTAGCTAGAATTTGTCTTATACATTCCGGAGCTTCGAGGTTCAAAGGGTTAGAGAAGGTTTCAAAAATGGATGTACGAGTATAATTAATGCTATGCAACCGCCGAAGCGATTTTTCGCAGAGCTCCTCCTCCTATTTGTATCTTTGCGTCTTGTTTTTTTTTCAACAAATGGAGGGACCTACAGTTTATACTACCCCGCCTCCGTACGGTTGATGTTTTTCAATAATTATGAGATTTTATTTCAAGTCAGGACTAGAACCCAGGTCCTCCAAATCAAAGTACGGAATGCTAGCAAGTTAAGTTAAATAATCTATCAGTATATGCGTTGAATTCTAAAAAATACTCCACTGGAATCCCTTCCGCGCTCAACAAGTCTTTCTCTGCAGGGAAGTCATTTCTGTGTAATAGAATATAATAATTTATTTGTGTAGCGGCGTACACGTGTTTACGTTAGTAATTTACTAATGCCTGTACGTAAGCAATTTTATATAAATATGTATGTATGTATATATGTATAGCTTTTTGTAACACAGCCGAATAGCCGTCAGTGCTGTTTCTCCGGCTTTGTTAAACTAATAAAGAGTGCTTCTAAGGACTTATGGCCAATAGATGAATACTTTTTGCCGGAGTTGGTCCCTCTGACAGCTCTTACTGGACTTATACTTTGGTTTGTCATTTCATAATGAACAGATGTACGGCGGAAAAACGTATGCAAATCATGAAAGTTCATTACTAATATTGGGTCAACATAATCGCTCGGCAGAGTCGGCTATGGAACAACCATAGATCGGCTTCGCACCACGTTTACTCAGAGACGTCATACAGTGCGCATCAGACCCGATTAAGCCCATCCGTCATCCCGCGCAACAATCGAGTTGTACACACCAGCTTTATAGAAGAACGGAAGCATCTTTGTTGGAGGGCTTACATAATCGAACTCGTGCAAGAATTGAAGCCAAACAAACAATCAACTGCATTCCATATTCGGTGAATGGGCTCTAAACAAGATTGTCACCGATTTCAAATGTTTCAGGTTGCTCCTCGTTGAAAAAATGGCAATTCTGCTTATTAGCATAGCCATTGAGAAACATCGCTGCACAAAATTAGGCTCGAAAACGTCGTTTTGGAACTTTTCAAAAGCCCATAGAGCCAAGCGATGTAAATTGGGAGTCTCGAGCGGATTCAGTTCTTGCTCAAGCTGTATTTTGTACGCTTTCAATTTAAGATCTCGACCTAAAATGCGACAAGTCGTTCCATACGTCAGTCCGAGTTGTTCCGAACGACGCCGAAACGTCGCTCCACGGGCTTCGTCTGCACTCTCAGTTACGGTCGCTATATTTTCTTCACTGCATGCTGAACGTGGTCCATTAGGTCGAATATTATTAAACAATAAATGCTGAGTCTCGAGATGGGTGATGGAGTTGCGAATAGTACAGTCCGTAGGCCGATTATGCTGACCTTAAGTTGAGCGAAGCGCGTGAAACTCATTCTTACAGAACGTGAATCTAAGTAATAAAGTTGAACGATTTGTAAACGCTGTTCAGATGTAAGTCTTTCCAAGACGAAATTCCAAAAAAAGTTGATCGAAAATAGCATGATCTGTCAAAAAAGGTTATTCAAAAAAGGTTATTCAAAAAATTATCTCTACTTGGATCACCCGTTAAACATATGTCTTTATGTGTATAAAATTTCCAAAGTCCGCTGCCCCAATAGCCGAGTGATAAGCATTGAGTACTGCCATTCTGAAGGCATTCTCCATGGTTGGAGTTCTGGTATGAAGCGATCTTCTACCGAGCTCTTCATCGAATTTGTGGCATTTCGTTATGATGTTTTCCCAACAAATGGTGGAATCTGCAGTTCATACTAAGCTTCCTTCGAACGGCCAATAGTTTTTAATGAGGAGCCTTTTATTTCATGTCAGAAATATACTCCACATTTCTACCATTGTGGAAGTTGTACATACCAGAACTCAAACCCTGGCCACCCGATTACTGGTACGTAAAGCCAACCACCCGGCTGGTGCTGCCGCCAAATGCCAAGTTGTACTCAAGAGTTGGCTTTATTTGATTTTCTTTTCAACTTGTATATACTACGGAGTATATATGTCCATATATACATTATATATACGTTGTAACTTTCACAGCGTGTCGACCAGCTTTCATCACCATAAAAAAAGTTGCGGCTCTCACTACCCATGGCCAGCTTAAAATTATTATGTAAAACTTTAATTTGCTTTTGTTAGCAAAAGGCAAGAACAAAGAAATGTTTTCAACTAAAATCTCACTTATTTAGTTACGAACTAAGAAAACCGTTAGATAGCCGCAAAGAGAGTATGTGAATAGTGAGCAGAAGTAAACGAAATTTGTAAGAAATTTCAAAAAAAAAGAGGAAAAAAATTGTAAAGAAAGAACAATACTCAATTAACCACTTACTACAACAATAGCAAACTACCTACAAAAACACTTACCACCGCCGACACATAGACTATTGAACCGTTAGTTAGCAAACCAGCAGCTACCCACTAAAAGTTAACTTTTCCTTTTCGGCGCAAAAAGAAAAACAAGAATTATTGCAATTTCTTAAATTAGTTTTCTCTTCCACTTGTACACTTGCAGGGAAGGTCAGCAGTCACCGGAGGAATGGCATCGCCTGTACGGCAAGTGTTCCGGGAACGAGATCTATCACATTGTACTCGGCGATAGTCGTTTCTTTGGCGAGTATGAGGGCAAAAGTTTCACCTACGCCAGTTTTCATTCGCATCGAAAGTGAGTAAACGAAGAAAGAGAGAGAGAGAGAAGAGCACCATATATTTTCACACTATTTTTGTTTTTTGTTTGTATTTTTTTTAAATTTTTTTTTTTTTTGTATTTTTTATATTTTTGTGCATTTGAACTGTCACTCGACTATCAACTCTCGACACTCGACTGACTGTTGGACCACATAGTTCACATGTATGTATGTATGTACGTGTATGTCCATACACACAGAGTACTCGTCCATCAATTGAAGTAAATTTAATTTTGCGCTGATTGAATTTTATGCTTTCCTAACGGTATTGGATTTTCAAAATCACACTGTTTGATGGACATTCATTTTTCATTGAGCCTTTAGTGATTTTTCATAGCGTTTTACTCTCATTTTTTGGTTCCACACTTCTGCTATCTCTCTAGCTCCCTCAATCACTCAACCACACACTCACTCACTCACTCTCACATTCTCTTTTCCTTTCATCCTCTTTTTCGTGCCACAGATATGGCGTTGCTTTGGTTGGTGTACGTCCAGCCGAATTGCCGGAATTCTATGAGGACACCATACTGCTGAATCCCGGTCCGCGACATATCATGAAGAAGGATGACACGTGCTATTACATGAGCATAACAAAGGAGGAGAATTCAGCGTTTGTTGTCAATCAAAATCAAAATCAAAATTTGGATACACAAGCGGCGACCAAGGACGGTGGTAAGTCTTTGGCTACATTCTTCCTTTCGTTCGCAAACAGTTTCTCGGACAGCAAACCCCATAATGATAAGAATACACGAGTCTCTTTCTACAATTCTTCTTTGTGCCTTTCGAATTATTTCTCATTTGTTTACATTTAATGTTTTGAAAGTTTATTCCTTAGGCGTTTGTATACTTTGTATGCGCTTTAATAATTATTGCATACTTTAACGTGGCTGTACTTCAATGTAGGTATATGCTGTACTCGTATGTATGTATGCGCAAAGCGTGCGGCATTTTTATGAACTGTTTTTCTATATATATAAAATAGAATTTAATTTAGGTATCAGTAATTGTAGACACCATTGAATAATACACAATTAATACGAAAGTATTTGGGATGTCCTTAAAATGGTTTCAACGTTCGACTACTTAGGCCTTTTGCTTAACTGCTTAGCTGCAATTCTGACTCACACTCACAGCGGCACTCTCTTTTTACTGATAACACAAAAATTATGTGCTGAGTTTTCAATTAGCTGATTGTGTTCCCTTCTCAACGCAATAAATTCTCGCCAGATTAAGTTGCTCTCATTAATAACAGCTTAAAAGCTGTTCACACATGCACTCAATTAACTAATTGTTAGTATTTTAAAAAGTAAATCCCTAATTACGTGCCAGTTATCTTTGCGAAAGACCGAACCGTGAAATATTGAGAGACTGTTTAGTGAGAAAACATATTCATTCTTGAAAATAAATTATGTTACAACTAATCCTGCTAACTTAATTGAATGTGTATGAACACCAAACTCGATTTGATACAGGATTTTGATTGCAAAGAAAAAAGGCATTTTTTTAGAGAAATGATCGAATGTTTATTTCTGTGAAAAGAGGAAGATAAGTCATTAATAATGGAAAACAATATCAGCCAAATCAGCGCCACGGTTACGCTTTCAGTACCGAATACTTTTTCCATCACCAAATCGCAAAGTGGCTTCTGAATTCTCTCAATAGCTTCACAAATTCCATCTTAGCATGTTGGCGTAGACCTGTGCCCCCAAGGAAAGAAGTCACAAGGTGTTAAAACACTAGATTTGTGTGGCCAATTGCGATTAGCTCTCCGAGAAATAAAGAAAGAACACGATTTCGTAAACTTTCCCTTAAAAGCTCAATGGTTTCGTGGCTTGTGTGGCACGGAGCACTGTCTTGTTGAATGTAAACGTTGTCTAGATCAATATCATCCCATTCTAATTAAATTATAGTCTCAAAAGTGGCAAAGGGTCGCACATGCCTCAGCTCGTTTTGCGGCCCGACAGCATATCGGCGGAAATTTTTATTCTGAAAGTCTTGAGGAGATTGTTTCAACAAGTGTGGACGTTTCTAGCGGGCTTTGCGCTGAATGGGTTGAGACACTATTAAAGTAAGATTCAGCAAAGGTGTCAAAATTGTACAGCAGACCTGAATGGTATTCAGCAAGGCTCTGCGATCGGTTAACCGAACAACTTATTTACTTAAAACCATTTCTCCCTTTCTGTTTTTGCTGGTCTCTCTTTTTCTCTCTCTCTCTTCCGGTCTCAGTCGCTGTACCTTTCTCCTATCCCTCTCCCTCTCTTTCGGCTCCTCTCTCTTTTACTTCTTTACAAAAAGCCACCGTTTTCCGTCCAAAATATATAAGCAATAGAAAATAATTTTTATTAAGGACATCCCTTATAATTATAGTATCCTTACAAGAAACAAGAAGTATAAACAACATTTTAGTTACAATTATATTTACTTAATGAATTTCCGAGCGTAAAATTAAAAAATAGAATTGTATAAAAAATAGTTTAGTGACCGCTTAATATACAATACATACATAACTAAGTAACCGTTTTTCTTGGCTGCCGCAATGAAAAATTACGCTTTCGATGTGCATCAGTGTGTGCGTTAATTATAATTTATTCAACAAATTTCATTATACTTATGTACGTACATATTGTATGTAAATGTTTACATCGGTTCAACGTTCTTTTCGCATTTTCGTCCTTGTTTATTTGTTTGACCGATTATTTATTCTGTTGTTTACTTGTCGCGGTATATTTGCATTTGATTTAAAAACGTCACACTGCCATTTTAGCTCTCTTCGCAACGCTCTGTTACTCACGCACATTCGCTCGTTACTATCGCTTACTCTTTTCAACACATCACAAGCATTATGATCATACAAATTGTGCTATATATTTTTCTCTTTGCCCTCACGCGTTTGATTTTTCTTTTATTTCTCTTCAATTTTTAACCTTCGCGCTCGTTATTTTATAAGTAAATTATGGAATTGACAAAATGGAATAAATCACGGTTGTGTTCTTACAATTTTAATTTTTTACATTTTGGTCATTCATTATTTATGTGCGGGTTTAAGAAAAAAAAAATTAATGGAAATGAAATGCTGTTATTTACGAAAATTAAAACAAATTGCCGCATAAATTAGATTTTGCCATAAATTCATCAAACGTCCATTAAATTACTTACCAAAGCTGTTAGGCTATGCATAGCTACACATGTACGGATGTATGTATAATATTTTCACATTGCATTTTAGTTACGGCTATAAATTTACTGAATAATTTAATATATATGGCTATGCTGTCACAATTTATGTCTTTAAAGCGTCATATATTATATTGTAAAGTTAAAAAATGTTGATTAAATTTAAATTTTCCGATGTTCGCAACACAGCAAGAGGAAGAAAGAAAGATGCAAATTTATTTTTTATTTAAATGAAATAACAGTTTAAAAAAAGATTATTTTCATATAAAAGTCATATTTTAGCAGCAGGCATAATAATATTTCAAAAATCGAAGGGAAGCGTAGACGCAAACCAATTTATGTTATGCTATACCTATCACTTTTAAGCTCCCAGCACTCGAAGCATTCTCTGTCTGGTTCAAAATAATTACCAAATTATTATATTGTCAACTCTAGAAGAATATAATAGAAAGACAACCCTCTTAAGAGCATGTATCTCTTACTTTATAATATAGAGAAGTGACCAGTAGTTGGACTTCAAAGTGTTTTTTAAAAAAAAATTCCACTTTATTAGATTTTCTACATAATAATAATTACTCACATTGGTTTCACAATTGATCCCTCCAGTGCTTCATTCCAACCACCACATGTGATTATGGCAGCAGAAGCTAAAAAAACATATAATAAATTATAAAATATATGTGATCTGATATTATTTCTAAAATATAGTCATGACTGACCATAAGAATGTCACAGAAAATAATGCAAATAATCAAAAATTTTTAACCCCACCAAGAATCCATAATAACAAATACATATGTACTCGTATGTACTTTTGTGTGTGATGAGATACTACAGCAACAACAATTTAAAAAAAAACACATTTAATACAATTTTGTCTAACTTTTGGCTTTTGTTGTGTAAAAATTTTTACTCAATTTAGTTCTGCTAGATATAAGTGTATGCAATTTTAGTCGCTCTCCCACTTATTTTATTTTATTTTATTTTATTTTATTTTATTTTATTTTATTTTATTTTATTTTATTTTATTTTATTTTATTTTATTTTATTTTATTTTATTTTATTTTATTTTATTTTATTTTATTTTATTTTATTTTATTTTATTTTATTTTATTTTATTTTATTTTATTTTATTTTATTTTATTTTATTTTATTTTATTTTATTTTATTTTATTTTATTTTATTTTATTTTATTTTATTTTATTTTATTTTATTTTATTTTATTTTATTTTATTTTATTTTATTTTATTTTATTTTATTTTATTTTATTTTATTTTATTTTATTTTATTTTATTTTATTTTATTTTATTTTATTTTATTTTATTTTATTTTATTTTATTTTATTTTATTTTATTTTATTTTATTTTATTTTATTTTATTTTATTTTATTTTATTTTATTTTATTTTATTTTATTTTATTTTATTTTATTTTATTTTATTTTATTTTATTTTATTTTATTTTATTTTATTTTATTTTATTTTATTTTATTTTATTTTATTTTATTTTATTTTATTTTATTTTATTTTATTTTATTTTATTTTATTTTATTTTATTTTATTTTATTTTATTTTATTTTATTTTATTTTATTTTATTTTATTTTATTTTATTTTATTTTATTTTATTTTATTTTATTTTATTTTATTTTATTTTATTTTATTTTATTTTATTTTATTTTATTTTATTTTATTTTATTTTATTTTATTTTATTTTATTTTATTTTATTTTATTTTATTTTATTTTATTTTATTTTATTTTATTTTATTTTATTTTATTTTATTTTATTTTATTTTATTTTATTTTATTTTATTTTATTTTATTCTATTTTGTTTTATTTTATTTTATTTTATTTTATTTTATTTCATTTAATTTTATTTGCTTTAGTTTTGAACTTATTTTTCCAAAGCATTTAAAAAAAAGATTTTTTGTCTAATTTTTGAAAACCAAAGGCAGTGCAAACTCACATTTAATTAAGGATGAAAACCAAAATGTTTTGATTTTCTCTTGCATTTGTGTTTGTGTATGTGTAATACAATCATTACCCATTGTATTTAGTTAGCACAACAACAATAAATAACAACAATACAACCATCATCACCACCACCACCACGAATAGCACCATTTTGAATATGAATCAGATAACATCTACAACAACAACAACAACCACACCGGTGGCCACCATTAGTACAACAACAACATCAACATCAATCAATCGCACGGCACCGGTGCCATCCGTTTGTGTACGTGTACCGCACAGTCCCAGTCTGGATTCCGGACGTGGTGGTGGTTACAGCGGCTTAGGTATAGTGGGTGGAGGCGGTACACCCTTGACAGAAAGGCAACCGTCATCATATAGTGATAATGATTTTACGACACTATTCGTGCGTGAGTGTGAAAATAAATTAAGAAACAAAAAACCAACTAAAATTACAACAACAACAGTAACAGCATTTTAAATAAATAAATAAATATTTTTCATTATTAAGAACTACCAATTTGAATGTGCCCAGCTGCTCTCACCTGCTCTCGCTAACTTTTTAGCTCGCTCGCTCCTTGCCATTGCCATAGTTCATTTGTTTGCACGTTTTATATGCTCCTTATCGGTTGCGCTAAATAACCATTTGTAAATAAATAAATAAGTGTAATTTTTTTTTTTTGAGACCAATTTTTGCTAATCATTTTCCCCAAATTCTCTAGAAAGAAGAAAAAATTATTTTTACATTAAGTGAATATATCCTCACCGCCACCGCCAGTAGCTTAGCATATTTTATTTAACATTTTATTATTCCCGTAGTTTTCCGAGTTTGGTAGTATTTGAACTGCCTCGCCCTCTCCTCGCCTTCCAAACGAAACGAAAAAAAAATCAAACAACCACCAACCGCCAAACCAACCGCAAATACAAAACAAACCAGTTTGCTATTTTAGTGACCACCAAAACCACCAGCTCCGCTAATGCCCCAAGCCCTTCACCGCAATTTTCCCCATTCACCAGCTCACCAAATCACCAAATCACAAACGCCCTCACCATTGATCCACAATCAGCAATCAGAGACCACAAACATTTCCTCTCGCATGTTGACACATTTTGAAATTATTGACACTTACATAGCTATGTTTATGTAAGTATGTATTTGTAATTAAATGCTGAATGCTTGTAAATATATATTTTTTTGTATATATGTATGTACAATATGTGTTATTTATTATTTATATATGATTTTATAAATTATTTACGCTCATATATAATCATATATATAAATGTATGTATGTATATATATAATGTAAAATATGTTTTATATGTAAGAATGTGTGCGCATGCATATTGCCCTTTGATCCGTTAATCACTGTTTCAGCGTCAACGCCTTTTTGCTGCGTTTTGCTTGCACACTTCCGTTTAAATGCGGTTCGTGCGTGTTGCACGTGCCAAAATGTCAACCAACCGTTCAACATGCGGCAACACATATGTACACACAAATATACAAATACCTGTGCTTGCGCACTCACCGCTGCAATGTAATTTCCACTGACCGTTCGCAAAATGCACTGACCTGTGCAGCTTGTCAACAACGTCACCTGTCATCGTCGTGTTAGTCTATAAATAAAAAGTTGATTTCACTCTGGAGTTCATTTTAATTTATAAAAAAAATTTTTGCAAATAATTTTTCAGCTAATTTTTTTCGTTACGGAAATTTCGAGTGAGATTTTATTACACATATTTTAATTATTTGATATGATGACGTCATTCAATGCAATCAGTTCTTGGGGTTAGTGAAAGTGTTCAAGGTTTTTAATGAAAATTAAATAAAGTAAAGACATCACTGCAGTATGATTATTCTTCGCTTGGGTTAAATTGAATCGGCTGACATCTCAAGTCTCAAGTTTTTTTTAGTAGTCATAGTCGTATCCCTAGGTTGGTTGCCATTTGAAGATCCAGTAGGCTTTCTATGCCAAGTAAGAACAGCTTTTGTCTGACGAGTGCTGAACTTTCACACAGTCACGTGCTTCATTGCCTCCAAACATTTCCTTTACAACAAATGGATGGACATACAAGTTATTCTCAGCTGCCTCCGAGTTATCGATGAATTTTTATGAGAAGTGTTTTATTTCATGACACTCCATGCTGCGGTGCGAACGAAATTGAACAATTAATTTTCTATAATTTCGGAATTTTGGACGAACGAGGACTCGAACTCTGACTCTTCGTATGCTAGTATGCAATGCTAGCCACTCGGCTTACTTAGTCAACTGTCACATAGCCTTAAATTCCTGTGTCACCTGGCGTCCAGCAAATGTGCACACTGCTGCAAGCTGGTAATAGCTTCTTAGGGGATCCTAGAAGCTTAAAGCCACTAGATTTTCTGATGTAATGCTCAAAATCGCATGTAGAGCTGCAAAGATGTTGTTTTGATTTTTATCACGGAAAGTTTGAAGAACCTTTCCTGCTAATACAGATATTTTATGTGGTACAGCACACCTCGTCCCCCCCCCCCCCCCCATTTAAAGTCGCAACGAAGATCCGGTAAGAAACAGCGGGGGAGAGACCAAAAGCGCAGCTTAACATCCCTTTGCACGTAAATAGGTCCGCTTATGCCTTCTTCACTCGCTCCTCTACATTGAGTCTCCACGAAAACTGACTATACAAACACAATTGTCAGGTACTTAGTACTATATTTCAGCTGTAAAGTTGGGTCTGCCATAATTGGTTTGATCCAAGCTGGAACTGTTTTATTCCTTAAATAGAACCAAATATATTAAATTACTTTTAGCCTCAATTCCTGCTGAAATAGCCGAGTTGTTATGCTCTAAGTGAGTGACTCGACTCGCCAGAGATCCGAGTATTGCCGAACAGTTATCGTCCAAGATGGCTCAAATGTCGTTCGCATGGCCTATAAGCATGGCAGCTACCAACTTGCCTAGGGGGTCGGGCGATCGATTTGGAAGCCATCATGAACGGGACAAAGATGTGGGCGAATAAGTTCTTGTGACATTTACTACAGCGGCCAAATAAAGAAGCAGAATTTTGGTGTTGGTGAGACACTCAGTCCAAGCCGAGGACTAGGTTCATGCCGGTTTAGGAACTTCTCACCATAAGTTCTTATAGGAGAGAATAGTACTATCTTCCTGCTAAGCTAATTAAAAAGCCATGTGCGTACAGAATTTATGCAAACTGAAACCATAAATACGATTTTTCGAATAGAACAGACCCTAATGCGAAGAGTAGTATTACTGTTAATGGCAGAAAAAAGCCCCCTTTGTACCGAGTTTCAGGAAAATCGAACCATAAACAATATTTTTTCAAAATAGATCGGTTTCGGGTTTAGATAGCGGAGAGAAGAATAGTTTTTCTGATAGTCTAAGCAAAAAGCCACCTGTGTACCGAATTTATACTAAATGGATCCATAAATATAATTTTATCGAATAAGTGGGTCTTTGGTCTAGATCTGGAGTGTAGTCGTCCTGATATTTGAATCAAAAATACCATTTTCTCAACTATGTCAGCATCTGGCTCACTCCCCGAAAATCAATCATCGCACGAACCTTCCCAGGAATCATAAAAAAAATCTGTCAAAATTTCAAGTCAATCGGTCGGTCTCTTTTGGATAAGACGATCTTTAAAAACGAACGAAAGATTTTAATAAATAAATGAAAAGTTTCAAAATTCTACCATGATATCTCCTTTTACTCACAAGTTTTTAAACAAAAATTGGTAAACCACTCATTCAGTGCTCAACTGTTTGTTGGTTCGGTTTTGTCATATTTTATGAAAACTTTCTTCTTCTTTACTGTCGTAAACACCGCGCACGCGATTTAGCCGAGTTAACAACACTACGCTATTCATTTCTTCTTTTAGCTGGTCTTTCCAACAGAGTGAAGTTTTTCCCTTACCTCTGCTTTCAGCGGTGGGTACTGCATTGAAATTTTAAAAGCAGGAGTCATTTTATCCATCCGGCCTACATGACCTACACTGAGCAACCGCTGTTTCTTGATTCACTGAACTATGTCAATATCTTAGAGAACCGCAAATCTTACGCAAAACCGTTCTCTCGAAAATTCCAAACGCCGACTCATCAGATGTTGTCATCGTCCATACCTCCGCACAACATAACAGAACTTAAAAGATGAGCGACATCTAGAGTTTAGTTTTCGTTCGTCGAAAGAGGACTTTATTTTTCAATTGCCTACTCAGTCCAAAGTGTATTTACAGATTGACATTGTTGTTGATGTTAATTGTGGTTCCAAGATAGACGAAATTATCTACGTCTTCAAAGTTATGACTGTCAACATTGACGTGAAAGGCGAGTCGCAAATGGGATGACTGTTTGTTTGTTGACAGGAGATATTTCTTCTTGCCCTCGTTCACTACCCGATCCATTCGCTTCGCTTCCTTAGCCAGTCTGGAGAAAGCCGAAGGCACCGCGCGGTTGAGGCCAATAAAATTGATATCATCATCGTACGCCAACAACTGTACAGTTTACATGGCCGTATACGTTTTACGGGGATACCGAGTTGAGACAGCGGTGCAGAGGCAGCTCCATTTCGTGCTGTCGAAAGCGGTTTTAAAATCAATATAGAGGTGGTGTGTGTCGATCCTCTTTTCTCAAGTCTTTTCCAAGATTGGCCGCATGGTGAATATCTGTTCAATGGTTGATTTACCAGTTCCAAAGCCACACTGACAACGATGGAAAACTTCACTGGAATTAATTCAGTAATTGTCGGAAGAAAATCAGAAAAATTTACGAGGAGAAATATTTTCAAATTACCAACAACAAATTAAATTATTATTAAAATTATTTTAATTCTAATTTCATAATTTTTTGTTTAATATTTTTCTATATTTCCAGTTTTCAAATATCTACTAATGCATATGTAAAAATTTTCCCCTTTCATACTTGTATATACGTGTGTTTGTAAATATCAACTGTCTGTTATCCACGCTTTTGCTTAATGAATTATTTAAAATATTGACTATTCATAGACCTCTTTGACCTATTTATTGATAATCGAATGTGCATTTCAGTGTAAATAAGCTTTTGTGTATGTGTTGCATTTATCAATGCTCACAGGTCATAATAGCCTAAGTCAATTTCTCTCCAAATATTCGCGTTTAGAATGACCAAAAAAAATTTTGGTTTAAAACATCGAAAATCAAAGGTAAAAATGGTAAAAAAAAAATGTATAGATTTTTTGAAAATTTTCAAAATCAGACTTAGGCTCTTTTGACTTACAGCTGTGTGTATACATAATAAAACCACTTTTATGTGAATAAGCTCCACCTACTTGCTCCACTGCATTTCTCGGCTTGCTTATCAAAAAAAGAAAAATAATAATAATAAAATTAATAAAAGCTAAAGCTGCTGCTTAACTAAACAACAAATACAACAAACATACACTTTTTTAAAATATTTAATCCAACAAAAAAGCTCAATTTTTTTTTCGCTTTATCTCTCTTCTCTGCATTCCACAAATAGCAACTGATAATCTAACGTCTGTGATAATCTCAGATTCAAAGCAGAATCTCAAGGATACAACGGTGACATCGATGAATCCAACGCAAACACCATCAGCCACAACAACAACCACTGTGACCACAACATTACCACCAATGTTGGGTGGTGGATGTGGTGGTGGCAATGGCATGGGTTATAGCGGCAGCGGCGGCGGTGGCGGTGGCAGTAGCAGTGGTGGCGGTGGCGGTGGTCTTAGCGTTGCAACTGCTACACTAACAACTAGCAATCACTTGGATGTACCACAAGCGGGGAATCCAAATCTACTCAGTCCCGATGTGCTCAATCAGCGAAGAGGTGAGTTCATTTGCAATTTGCAGTAGACTGGAAATGGGCGAAAGGGCGAAAGAAAAGAAAATACGAGTGTGAGGGTAGACTGACTTACAACAATGCATCATCAAAAATAGCAACAAAGTAGGCAAAACTTTAATGCAACAAAAAATGCAGATTCACTCAAAATCAAGTGGACACTAAATAAGTTTTTCCCCTTTCTCGCTCTCTTCCAAAAGTGATTTTTTTTGTAATTTTAACAATCGACTTTCATAGCCTGCTTTTGAGGGCGATTCTCCACTTGCTTAATCAATCACCTTAGACAGGCACTGGTGATAATCACTTGGTGCAAAGTTAGGACCCTCTATCACGCTCTTGGAGCTTCTGGCGAGTCACTATCGATATGTGTGGTCTGAGATTGTCCTGATGTGACATGTTTCCCTTCCTGTTGGCCAAAGCTGGGCGCTGCTGTGTAATTGCTTCCCTCTTTGCTAGTTCAAATTAGTATTCTAGTTTGACAGTGCGGGAGTAGCTCATAGAAGGTTATTCCATGCCAATCCCACCAGACACTTAACAAACCTTTGCTGGCCATCAATTTTGCTCTGGTTGCCGTTTGTGCCACCTCACTGTCCTTCGTCTTTGATCGTTTTCCTTTGACTATAGCAAAGTGATCCACTTTTCATCACCTGTCACTAACCACTTTTGAAATTCCCGCTTTCGTTGTGATTTAGCAACCTTTTTATGGTGTTTGCTTCGATATTTTACCTACAATTGGAGGGAACTACAATTTACACCAAGCCGCTTCGAACGGCCGATGGATTTCTATGAGGAATTCTTTATTTTTTGTTAGAAATACCCTCCGAGGGCTTGACATAAGTTGCCGTGGAGGGCCAACAATTAGAAAACTTCATTTTCTATAATTTTGGATGTTGATGGGAGCAGGACTGGTTTTCCGAATGCCAGTACACAAAGCTATTCAGTCAGCTATTGCAACCCCCAGAGCTTACGTGTAGGCCGTTTTTCTTGGTAACATAACCACCGAGGTAAAACTGAGCTTCATCGGAAAAGATGGTTCTTGGGTAAGAATGCTCATCTGCTGCCAAACGAGCTCCAGACAATTGAGCGAAGGGTAGTCGCATCGTGAGGCTAGAGCTATTGGATCATTTGGACTTTGTAAAGCTTCCCACTGAGTTTTTTGTGCAAATCCCGGTGAAAAGAAGTGCGAGTTGAAGTATTCAATTCACAGTGCCGAGCTGACTTTAAAGGCTCTAAATGCTCATTTTCAGCTATAAAAGGCGTGTTAATTTATTCTATAAGGAGCCGAGTTGGCGAACTCACTGCACAAATGAATCCACAAACTGCATGAATTTTGAGATAATTTTCTACCAGTGACGGCTGAAGACTTACCGTTTATGAAGACAGTTATCAGTAATTCAAAATGTTAAATCGGAACATTCATTGACTGTATCAAAGCTCAAATTAGTCGGAGTTTAAAAAGCAGGTTTATAGTCAATTCTAGAGTTTTCTTTGTTAAATGTGGTCTACCTTTGGCGAGACTTGTCAATTCCTTTAGGGTTTTTTGGACTCGAAATAAAAAACTCCAAATGACAGTTCCATTTTTAAAGCGTTCCTGATGCTGGCAAAAATCTTAGCGAGCAATAATGCAAGCCATTGAATATGTACCAGTCACCTTGAGTTTTTGATATTTTAAATTTATGGCTGCGCTGTCCACGTGAGAATTGGTGGCGCATGCTTAAAGACATTGTACTCATATACCAACTCCCGTGATAATTCCTCAAAAGAGTTGCATTTTTATAGACTCTTCGAAACCCAAAAATGCTTAGGTGCTCCCAGCAAGCTGCCACCGCTTAAATTTGTAAAAGAGTAGAAGATTTTTCGCTTCAAAAAAGCTAAATCTTTAACGTATACTTCTCCTGACAGGCATTTCAGGGTAAAAGTTTTCAACCAAATATCGAACACACTTAACCAACTTCAGATTCCCATACATCTTTGGTTCCTGGAATGGTTTATGTGAAAAAAAAAAATTGGAAAAATTCGGAACTATTCTGGGGTAGGCATTTTGTATACCCACAAGTATTAAATAAATAAATTTATGATTTAAATATATGCAGATGCGCCATATTTCATAGATACAACGAATGTGTGTCACAGCGAAGCGTTGCTGGGTAAAACTAGTTTAATAAAATAAATTTTAATATTTTTAATTAATTTCTTCACCATCAAACACTTTATAGTATTCCAGCAACAGATAAACTTAATTTTCATTTCTCTCTCACTCTCTCACTCTCTCTCTCTCTCTTTGTTGCTGACTATTTACAGGAAGTCGCCGACCATCCATTCTGCCTGTACCGGATATGTTTACCTCATCATCGTTCAGCATATCGGGCAATGACGACGGCGAAGAGGGCGATGAGAGTGAGGATGAAATTGATGATGATGTACCGTGGCGTTCGCCGTCCGAGAAGATTGCGTAAGTCGATTTTACACAACCAAGGATATATATGCAAGCAAACAACAAAATTATATACCTACATGTATGTATGTATGTATGTAAATTCCTGTATGCACCCAAATAACTATAAAGTCACTGAAATTCATGTAATCAGTTTTCTTTTCTCTCCTCTAAACATAGTTAAGTATTGAAATAGATACATTTGCAAGTAATGTACCCTCTATTTTGGTCCTGGCAAAAACCGTTGATTTGAAAAGTGTTGTTGATTTTTCAATTTTAATTTGACGAAGTGAGCCTTCAGTAAATAAGTTAAATAGTTGGTCACGAACTAAGTGAAAATTTATATTTTTTTATTCTTTTCATTTGAGTTGACATATGTATATGTATGTTGTAGTGTGTGTGCGTGTGCGTATACCTTCTATTCCCCACATGTGAACTCCTTTATTGTAAATTTAAGCCAAAGCAAAAACAATAAACTTTGTAATTATATATAAGATAAAATGGAACTTTAACTGTAAATAATTAAATAAGAATTTGTTGTAAATATGTAACAAAAGTTAAGAGAAAAAAATTCAAAAGAAGGTTAGTAAGACACAAATTTTCCAAAAATTATTTAGAAATTTTTAAGCAAAAAAATTGGCTATAGGTATAATATATATATGTATATGTATTGCATACTTTGCATATTTAGAATTTTTAATATTTTATCTACCTTTCATGAGCACAAAGAGAGAAGAAATTGAGCTGTTGTGCTGCACTTAGATACGAATTGCTTTGCATGTTCATTTAACCGTTCCTTGCCGTGGCGCGATCGCTTTAAAAAATACGGTAATCCGACGGGAATTTGAACTTACAATCCCTATCTAGTACTTAGGCACTTCGGTATATTTAATGGGGTTTAGCTTATTTACTCCTTCTGTGTATCGCCTACAGCACCCTGCTTTGATGTTTCATATTGGGCAAAAAATCTTACCAAGCACCTTAATTTCGTTGTTGTTATCATCTCATCACAAGTTGATGTGCGGCTTTTGGAGTTTGATTTGTGCTCGCTAAGCCCAAACTTCGATTCTCATAGGAATGACTCTCAATAATGCCATTGGAGACCCGACAGTGGTTTGAAAACTAGAAAGCCTATTCATTTTGTGTCTCTGTTTAATGATACCTAACTACGCTCTTACAAAAGATAGACCTTGTCTCGAAAAGAGATAGGCACAGTCGTTGATTACATCAATGTGGCACAGATGACATGAGTTGCTTATGGATACAATCGACTCGGCGTCACAAGCCATCTGCATTTGCAGAAGGCCTACTCAAGCAGGCTGAAATGGGTTGTTGTTGTTGTTGTAACCGCTCAAATATTCCCCGAAGTACCTTTTGGGGAATATTGCAGGAGTGATAGTCTTTGGCCGGATAATAATACGGGTCGTTCCAGTATAAAGACTCGACTGTCTCTGGACCTATTTGATTTTAGTGGCCTCTTACGACAGGGATGCCTTACCGTGGGTAAATTCTTGAACCCCTCACCCGCAGATGGGAGGCTGCGATGGCTGAATCAGTTGAATAAAATATTACCTGAGCGTAATAGAGGATTTAATATGCAAACGATCTCCCATCGATCGTATCAGAACTGTTTCCTAATAAAATCGGCAAGATTATTACCATCGAAATTAACACTCAAAAGCTGCTAACAACAGAGTAGGTGTGAACCCGAGTAAAACAGAGCAGATTCTCCATTACTTAACGGTACAACAATTTCCTTTTCCCCGAGAAGCAAATATCTCGGGGTTTATATTGACACCAAGCGGTACTGGAAGACGAATATTGTGCCTTGGTCAGGTGGACCGCATTAAAGAACCAATAAATTGTTAAGAAATTCATGGAATACAAAGAGGTTATAGAATAAGTTCGAAAGAAACGCCTAAAATGCGTCAGTCTGTACTGTCTATTGACATCTGCAATTGCGAAATTACAACAGGTTATGCTGGAAGACTATTGGAAATCTTTATTTGAATTTATGGTACGGTCCATATAATTTAATGTTTGAAGATTATTTCATGCAAATGTTGACCGCGAGTGCGCCTCAAAAGATCCATCCGCCTAGTCCAATTTTGGCATACTCTTTCCAACATTTCAGCCCGTACCTCACGAATAAATGCTTCAATGTTGTCCTCCAATGCGTCGAATAAAGCAGACTTGTCTGTGTAGACATAAGATTTGTAATAGCCCCACAAAAAATAGTCTAAAGGCGTTAAATCGCACGGTCTAGGCGGCCAATTGACAGGTGCCGAACGTGAAATAAAATATTCACCGAACACGCCTCTCAATAAGTCCATTGTTACGCGTGCTATGTGACATGTGGGGTCGTGGGGTCAACTTCTTGCATTTTGGGAAAAAAAAGTTTGATATCATCTCACGGTAGCGCTCACCATTCACAGTTACGTAACGATTCGCATCATATTTGAAGAACGACGGCCCAATGATGCCACCAGCCCATTAACTGCAGCAAACTGTGACTTTTCTGCCGGATCTTCATTCCAAAATCGAAGAAGCGCGCGATGAGCTCTCTTGACAGAGCAAACATTTTGATAATAAAATTGTTTTGTTCGCAAACTTGTTGCCAACGAGATGCCAACTTCATTATATCCCTCTCTTGAGGCCAATTTCTCACCATTAAGCGCGTTCGCCATGGACAGGAAAATATGGTAATCACTTGTTGTCAAGTCCGAACTATAAGCTGGGTGCAAGAGGACCTTCCTCCCGAGCTCCTAGAGCATCACCAAACACGCGTGTGGCCTGTCGTTATCCTGAAGGAACACAATTGCCTCTGTTGATCAAAGATGGGCTCTTCTAGATCAGTGCTGTCTTCAAGCGCTCCATTTGTTGGCAGTATAGGACCGATATGAGCGTTTGGATACAGGGGAGCAGCTCGTAGTAAATGATTCCTTGCCAATCCCACTAAACACACAGAAAAACCTTCCTGGCCGTCAATCTGGTCTTGGCCACCGTCTGGGCCGCTTCACCGAGCTTTGAGCACGACCGTTTGCGCACGATGTTGTCGTAGGTGACCCGTTTTTGATCGCCAATCACCATCCGCTTCAGAAACGGCTCGATTTTGATGCGATTCAGCAGCGATTCGCAGATCGAAATTCGGTCCATCGTGTTTTTTTGCGTTAGTTCGTGTGGCACCCAGACATCGAGCTTCTTTTTGAATCCAAGGCTACGCAAATGATACCAAACGGTTTTCTGTCTTATCTTTAGTTTCCCAGCAATTAAATAAGTGCTCACGTGAAGGACTATTTACACTTTTTCCATGATTTTATCATGTCTTGGATTGCGGTGAATCAGGGGAGGTACAAAGCCTTACGGCTTAGCCGAAGATAACCTTTTTGATTTTATCTCAATAATTTGTTTTTCAATATTTGTTATTATTTATTACATATGTATGTAGAGGGGCGAGGTCATGAGATATTTATCAATTTAATTTTAATTTATTTTTCGAAATAATTTCATTCATACATATATATATACAAAAACTAAAACTCTTACACTAAAAAAACCAAAAAAGAAGTAAAAGAACATATAAAACACCATTTGGGAATTTTTCAAAAACGAGCCACCTTTTCTGTATATTCTTCTTCTACCACATCATTATTATAATTCGCCTGTCATTACACTGCAATTGCCCCCTCGACTTCCGCACACCGCACCTAAGTGCCCTAAGCGGTCATTTTCCACAATCTCGCACCTATTCGTTGATCATGAGCTCTTCGGAGGATTCCAATAATCAGTGTTGTTGTACGAGTCAACCACAACTACATGGCGAGTCACGTTATCGCATGCTCGCCAAGAGTTTCAGCTGCGACAGCGATTGCCGTCGCGTGTTGCCATGTAATTTGGTGCGACGTAATCGCGGCGCACTCACACAAATCACCGATAACAACGCCGCCGATGCTGTTGATGCTGCCGACACGTATTGTTCGCTATGCTCCACCAACACTTGGATACCAGCTACAACGGCAACCACCACAACCTGCTCGACTACGGGCACTCAACGTACAGCTGCCACTTCGAGTACCACCACATCGACTTCGGGTGGCAAGGCGGCGACAGCGGCGGCGACGGCACGTCCGATTTGGGCAATGGATTATTTGCGGTAAGTAGATATGGCATGCGACGTTGCACGGACATACATACTCGTACCAACATACGACATTCATCATCTCTGCTCGTGCTCGTACCCATCGTTTGTTTGCTGGAGTGTGTCCTGCTGGAGTTTGCATTTTTCTTTTGGCGTTTCCGGTTTCACATCTACTTGTCCGTAAGATAGATAGTAAAGAGTTTTTTCGCTTCTCTTTTGTTTTTGTTTTTCGATCGTTTTGGTTTTGTTTTTTTATTTTTTTCTCTTGGGGATGGCGCCCTGCGAGGCTGTTAAACGCTGACAATCACTACACAGCCAATACAAAATGAAACATAAAAATATGGTAACTTTATCACACATATACACACACACATATATAAACTTAGAAGGTTACATATGTATAAACAAAAATTATACTTGTGGTTTGAAATTTTGTATGCATAACTGTTTGTTGAATTTGCATTATTTTGTGGTGAAAAATATTTTACTGTTAATTATCGAATGTGCTAATTGCTCATTTGTGTGACTCTTATATATACGTATGTATGTACATATAGGCGGCAAATTAAAATTATTTTTGCTGGCACGTAATTTGCTATTCTGGACGTAATTGATTACTTTTATAACGGTATTTGTAAGTATGTTAGTGTATAAAAATTTTTAAATTCCTGTATTTAACGGTTTCATCTAGAAATGTTATCGTTAAAAAGAGAAGCTCAAATTAAAGAAAATCTGGCTTGTAAAATATGAAAGTACAGGGTTTTCCAATAAGAGGTGTTATTTTGTTATTCAAAGAAAAATGATATTTTTTCAGATAAATGATCTAGAAATGTAAAGAAGAAGATATGACAACAATAATGGAAAACAATATCAGTCAAGT